GTTATGTGGGAAGAAGGGCTGGGATGGCGGCAGAATGAGAAGGAAATCAAACGCAAAGATTTTTTAATTTTTGCTGGAGTGGAACATGTAAATGAAGATGCTGAAAGCCCCTGTGTTGGGGTGATTTCAAATCACAACCAGTCATTTAATTCAAGAAAAATGAAAGGCCAGTTCAGTTGAGATGCCATTCACATACTACAGCCACCCAGATGCATGACCCTGGTCAAACCCTGTGGCCATTCACCTGTTTCCCAGCCTGAATCTAGACCATCAGATTGTTAGCCCTTGAGCTTCTGCCTAAACCAGTTATGAAACAAGCCGTGCCTTATATTTCTTCAGAATGACCCTCTTCCTTTAACACAGTATTCAGCTTCCAGAACTTTCCACCCAGTTGTGATTCAATGTCTTTCTGTGTCAAAGCATTTAACATAGTTTCCCACTGGAGAAGACTGAGTTGACTCAGGTCGAGTTTCCCTGAAATAAATCTGTGTGTATGGGGTTCCTGGGGAGAAACCTCCCCAATTGGGAATGAGTGTTCAACATGAATTTGGGGGTGGGGACACAAATGTTCAGTCCATAACATGTTGGTCAAAGAATTCCTTAACTGACGGCGCCAAGAAGATGTACAGCCAGAACAGAAGACTCATTCAAACTCCAGTCCTCAGAGGTTGCAGGGGAAGAAATGTGGGGCTCAGATGTACGGGAGGGCACAGCAGGTGGCCAGCCCTCAGCCCTGACTTCTGAGTCCCTCATCACATTTTTAACAAGCTCATGCTGAGCCCAGGCTGCTCTTAGCCTGTGACTGAGTGTGGCGAGAGCACTAGTGACACCCATTTCTGTGAAATGTGGGGCTCCTCCAACAGGAAGTTTTGGTTCCAGGATTCCCTGTTTCCAAAACCCGCACTGTAGGCCGAGACTCTTCCTATCCAATCCTCCTCCTTTTCTGCTCTCCTTAAACCACCTCAGACCTCACCATGGTCCTAGGGCTGTACATGTCTATTCCTGCTCCCTCCCCTCATCCTTCCACCAGGTAAATGTCCTGCACATCTGATCCCACCTTGGCACCTACTTCTTAGAGGATCTGAACAAACACAGATGGATTCCAGGTAGGGTTGTCTGAGAAAAAGGTGGTAAGATGGCCTTATGAGAGTGGCTCGCTAATGGCCCACCTTCAAAGAGAACTCCACTTTGAGGGGCATATGGGGTGAGGATAGTCTCTGCCACCACATAGTGACCCAGCTGTGGAATATTCCCGTGATGGAAATTCCAGTGCAGGGCAATGCCATTTTAAGTGGGATGATGAAGGCACCGCAAGGGGGGTGGGGTGGGGGGCAGTATCTGGAGAACAGTGCCCTCTGGTGGTGACTTCCCTGCATGTGCTCTGGAGAGACAGGCCACTGGCAAACAGTGAAGGTGGAGCCTGAGTCCGGGGGTCTCCTTGGAATCACAGATCCCTAGAGATGACTGAATGTGTGGCCAAGGCAGGCTGGGCCCTGGTTGGGAACTATATGGAATGGGATATCCGGGTGGTAACCCTGAGGATGCTCGTTCTGCACACCCTCAGAGCCTGCAGAGGTGGCCAGCCCTCTAACAATCCCCCCGTGTGAGGAGGCCATGCTGAAGTTTGTATCAGGAGGCAACAGGGGCTCACTGAGGAGCTTCCCCTGGTCCTCTTAGGTACCTGCAAGGGTCATAACTGGGTGAAATCCTAGCATCATCTGGCTGGGGACATGTTGGGCTTGTTAAGAGAGGAAAGATATTGCATAATGAAAGAGCTGCAAGAATTAACTAGCATGTACCAGCAAGAGCCAGGAGAGGACCCTTGGAATTGGATTTTGGGGTGCTTCAAAGTGGGCAGGAACACATGCCTGACTAAATGTAAATTCATTGTATTGGGGGTACATTGATGGGACAGGGGACCCCGGCGAGGCTCTACAGAGGGGTAGAACTCACTGCTAGGCAACACTCAGAAGCGGGAGAAGTCCATGGAAGGTGAAGTGGGAAGGCCTGAACTACTTTGCAGAAGGTAGAGGAGGACAGAGGGAGGCCGTGCACAAATGAGTTTACTATACGGGGCCTGAGGACGAGACAGAGCGGTATGTTCTACTGGAGGCCCAGAGAACTCGCCATATGCTAAGGCCTTGGACAGTGCACTGCTAAGATGGGCACCAACATCACTGGCTCAGAGACGCTCTCCTCTGGGGGCAGGAAGATGGTAAGAAAGGTGATCACAGGCCGGCTTGACAATGTCTGTGGGGATGGTGGGAGCCAGGTGGTGGCTTTAACCACCAGAAGCCTAGCAGATGTGATTACAGTATCACTGGGCCAGGGCAGAAGGGCAGCCAAGGGGAGCTGTGATGATGCTTGATTGGCAGGGAGTCGTGGAGGTTTTTAATAACATAGGGTATCCTGGGGTGGGGGAAACAGATGGGCAGTGAACAAAGGTGCTGCTTTAACATCTACAACTGGGAGAAGGCAGGAGTGGAGGAGGGAGAGGCTGAGTGTGGTTGCCCAGTAGAAGTAATGCTCCTTGTTCAAGTCTCAGACCCTGACCATGGAACCCATTGACTGAAGAGGTTGCCGGGTTTCTGGGGAGAAGGGAACCACAACACTGAAACATGTGTTTACTGTTATGATTAGGGTGACCAGATTTTAACATTTGTAAAGTGGGACAACATGGCCGGGGGTTGGGGTGGGTGGGTGGGGGGGTGGGGGTGGGGCAGGGCAGGGCCTGACAACAATGCAAACTTTGATAAGCGGTTCTCGATAATCACTTCTCAACAATTATTTGTTATTATTACAGTTTAACATTATAAAATTAACAAAATATAAAACTCATATTCTGGTGAAATAGCCACATGGCAGCCAAAACCCGTATATTCCCTTCTTATTCTCCCTCCCGTTCTGTGCATTATTTCCAAAAATCGGGATTTTTTTAAAACGCCACAGGACGCAGGACTAATTGTTAAAAATCGGGACTCTCCTGCCAAAAGTGGGACGTCTGGTCACCCTAGTAATGATCCTCTTTGGTTTGTGACATACGGTCATTGTCCTGGATGGCTATATGTTGGGGAAAGAGTAATACCCAGACATTTCACAGATGTTACCCAGAAATGCAAAGCATTATAATGACTCCTCTGTAAGCACAGGGGCCTCCAGGGATCCAGTGCTAAACAGAGTCTTGGACAATGTCCAGCTTACAGTGGTTCCATGCAGTCCCTGAGTATACACTGGGGAACTGAACAACCTTGATATTAGATCCTTGGCCTTGAGTTCTAATGGGAGGAAGGCCAACTAGAAGCCTCTGAAGCTGCCTCTATCCCCAAGCTGAAATAATAAACAAATATTTCATGTGAGGGGATGGAGGGTGAAGGTGGAGATTAATGCCATCATTTAAAGACCGAAAGGACCCTGGAGTAGTCATCCCTGTCACATCTCCATTTAACTTGCCAGGCTTTTTCCTTCAGAAGACTGCTGTAGACTTACCCAAGCAGGAGCCTGATCACAGGTTCTGCCCCTCCAGAAGGATTTGCACCACCTGGAAATACCACCCATCTATTATTCAGTGACATCATGCTAGCCGGGGAGGGTGCGCAAGAGGCGGCCAGCATGCAGAAGCCTTGCTAAGACATGTGCACTCCAGAGGTTGGGAGATAAACCCAATAAAGAACTCCTACTTCAGTTATTTTGGAGTCCAGTGGTCAGGGGTCTGCCAGGGTATCTCCTGCAAAGTAAATGAGAAAATACACATAATAAGTGAGATGAAGGAAAAAAAAAATTACTCCCTCAAAAATGTTCCAAAATAGGTAGTGAGGATTGTTCATCATAGAGTTTATGTCCTTGAACAAAATGTTCCAGTAAGGGAAGACACTACTCATCACCACCTGGTATTTATTAATCTGAGCACTTGTTCATTGCTTATCTTTTCTCACTGTGATATAATCTCCATGGAAGTAAGAACCTTGGGCACTGCTGCATCCTTGGCACTAGACCACAGTCAGCGCCTAATAAACATATTTTGGTGGAATGAATAAAGCATATTAAATCAGTGTGCAGGAACACATATTAAAGACATAACTTTGGAGCCAGCTCTTTTTAACTAACTTCCAGACGGGTCAGGTTATGCTTCATTTTTCTTAAAACGTGTCACTCCAGAAATCACCCCAAAGCAGAGCGTTCCCATATTCCTGTAAACTATTCTGTGATGTAGCTTCAGAACCAGGAGGTCTCGGTTTTTTGGCAGAACCTCGAGCCTCCTACCTTTCGGCCAGTACTGCCCCACAGCTCACAGCGGGAACAGCCTTGCTGATAATTCCTTTTAGAACCCTCCGCTCCCCAAGTACCAAGGACCCAGTTAAGCTGCTCCCCAGCTCAGGGCCATGTCCTCCTCCGGCCACACGGCGGCGCTACAACGCCACGGTCCGCGCAGGGCGCGGGGCCCTCGGGAGGAAGTCTCTGGGGAGGATGTGTGGCCTGCCCGGTGTGGGCGGAGCAAAAGGCGCCCGGGCCGGGAAGAGGGCCGGAAGTGAGGGGGCGGGACTTCGGAGAGTGCGCGCGTGCGCATAGGTCGGGTCGCCGGAGTCGTCGCCCTTGCCGGGCTAGTCTGTCCTCACGGTGACACTTTGCCCTCTTTTTCTGAGTCGGGCCTGGCCGAGGGCCCAGGGGAGGGGGCGGAGTGCTGGAGTGGCTGGGGCAGAACTCCGGGGGGCGCTGGGTGAGGAGCGGGGACCCGCCAGGGCGCGGCGGGGCGGGGGCGCCGCTTGTCGCGTGGCAGGTGCGGGGAGCCGGCCGGGGGCGCGGCGGCCGCGCTGCAGGACTCGGGTCCCCGGCCGCGCTTCCCGCTGGCGGCGCCTCCCGCGGGCAGAGTTCCCCGGGAACGCGGTGTCGCGGCCTCCCCCGGGCACCTTCCTCCGGGAAGACGCTTCCCGCGGCTTCGGGCCTGCCGGAGTCAGTCTGTTCTACCGACTCATCCTCCAAAAGAAACCTGCCTGAACTCGGCAGTGCACAGCAGAAAGTTCATGTGCTGTCTAAACAGTTTTAGGAAGTTTTGATAATTTTTTTTTCATAAGCTTGTCTACAAAGCTCTCTGTTTATACTATTTGAAAGTCGCCCGGTGTGTGAAACGGAGCCATAGTTGAGCCACCCAGTCCTCCACAAGAAATTGTAGTCCAAGGAGATGAAAATCCCTCATTTGGAATTCAGGGGTTGATGGAGGCCAGGCAGCCGTCACTAAAAGGATTGAGGTTCCTATCCGTCCTTCGCAGCCAGGGTGAAGGGGTGTAGTCTGACATTTGGAAGCTTAAGAAGCCAGCGTGCCGCCTTCCAATTCTTTCTCAAAGCCTTCCATCATGTGTGTATTTTGCTTGAATGATTATTTTAAAGTATATGTCCTATTTTTGCCAATCTGACAGCTGTTACCATAGAAACTAGAGAAGAAATAGTCATTTTCAGCAAGAGTTGTTGAAACTGTCTTCTAGGCTTCAGCTTTGAGTGCCAGTGAGTGCTACTCTGGCTCGTTCTGCTATGGTACTTAAAGAATTAAGGATCTGAAATGTTCTTAGAGACTAACAATCCAAATTGTTTAATTTTCTCACATCATTAATTTTGTAATCCTAGAAGTCTGCCAGCTATGTTTGCTGACCTGCCGCAGCTCTTTCAAGAGAATGTGTCAGCCCTGATTTTTTTCTTTCTTACTGTGCTGTGTAGCTGTGATTGGCTCCTTGAAAATACATAAATAGATTTCTTCCCTCATTCTTTACCCTTTCTTAAGGATAAACCAGGGAATACAAAATAATCAGACACAATTTCTGTTCTAAATGACATTTGGTTGTCAGTGATATAAATGATAATTATTTTAATTATGTAAGTAGAGTGTTTGGGACATTCGGTTATCTCTTCTGTGTCAGAGTTCTTTAAAATTTTCACACAAGTCATGAGCGCTGAGCAGGAATTTGCTTGTCATATGAGCAGAGCTAAGCAGTGTGAGTGGATGTGTGTAGGCATAGGAATGAGAGCTTTGTTTTCTGAAGGGTGGAAGTAAATGAGGCGATCTGGAACTTAGGGATTGGTGAAGGAGGGTTGGAGAGTTGCCTGGGGAAGTAGTGGGAGGGCCTCATCTACCATCTGAAGGAATTTATCAAGGCTGATAGAAAACAAAACCAGGCTGATATCACAAAAGTAGCTCTCCAGGGGTTTACGAAAGTAATACAGAATGTACGATGGAAATACTATCAGGTTGGTGCAAAAGTAATTGCGGTTTGGGGCCATAAATTTTAAATTATTATAACTAGGCTTAGACACATCTTTATTAATCAGAATAGGAATAATTATAATCAATACATTGTTGCCATAGAGAAATAAGTTTGATTCTTCCTGTAACATAAAAACCATCCTTGGGATTCCCTGAACTCTTGGAAGGCATTTTCTACATCCTTCTGGTTGTGGAAGGGTTTTTCCTGCAAAAAGTTGTGGAGATGCTTGAAGAAGTGGTGGTTGGTTGGTGAGAGGTCAGGTCAATGTCACAGATGAGGCAAAACTTCATACACAGCCCAATTCATTCAACTTTTGAAGTGTTGGTTGTGTGACGGACATGAGGCCAGGTGTTATCATGGAGAACTGGGCCTTTTGTGGTGACCGATGCTGACTGCAGATGTTGCATTTTTTGGTATATCTCATCGATTTGTTGGTCAGACTTCTCAGATTTGATGGTTTTGCTGTGATTCAGAAAGCTGTACTGGATCAGACTCGTAGCAGACCACTGATGAGTGACCGTGACCTTTTTTTGGTGCAAGTTTGGCTTTGGAAAGTGCTTTGGAGGTTCCTGGTGGTCCGGCCGCTGAGCTGGTCATTGCCAGTTGTCCTCTGAAATCCAGTTTTTGTTGCATGTCACAATCTTACTAAGAAGTGGTTCGTTGTGTTGAATAACAGAAGATCCTTGAAAACGATGATTGCTCTGATTTTCTATCAGTTTATGAGGCACCCGCTTATCAAGGTTTTTCACCTTTCTGATTTGCTAGAAATGCTGGGTGACCACAGACTGATCAACCATGATACTGAGCTCTTTGATAACTTCTGTAGTTGTGAGAGGATCAGCCTGGATGATCGCTGTCAGTTGGTCCTACCGACGGCAGCCTCTGCGCCCCTCATCTTCCTGGCTCTTGTCTCCTTTGGAAAACTTGGTGAACCCCACAGCACTGTGCGTTTGTTAGCAGTTCCTGGGCCCAGTGTGTTGCTGGTGTTGCAGTATGTTCTGCTGCTTTAGGGCTCATTCTGGACTCGAATAAGAAAACCGCATGAATTTGCTTTTTGTCTACCATCATTTCCATAGTCCAAAATAAATACGAAATAAACAACAAGTAATATGTCTTTAGCAAAAAAGCATAAAGCAGGAAATGTGCATTAAAATGATGTATAACATAACCGCGTTTATTTACGAATGTATTCCAGTATCAAATGACAAATTTCAACAATGCAAAAACCACAATGACTTTTGCACTATCCTGGCGTCCTTGTAACCACTGTCCTGCCACCCTGTAGTACTTATGAATAGTTTGGTATACCTTTCTTAAGATTTATTTTTGGGTATAACTAGCATATTTTATCATCGCTATTTTTGCAAATTGGGAAGGGGTTTTTGCCTGTTCTGTTCCTTCTGGTCCCTAACATCCAGAGTGGGGTCCAGACTGAACGAGTGAATGATACAATTCAGAGGTCAAACATTAAAAAAAAATTGTGAATGTTTGGTCAAGGTGGTTACAATTTTTTTTAATTGCTTGCCAACATTTTCAAATTGGTAGATAGCACATAAAATGTGAACGTCTGGTTTTCCTCGAGGTGTTGATGCATTTGGCCAGACTTAGCCCAGAGTCCATCATCCTGGTATATCACACCTCCTTTATACTGGCATGAATCTGCATTCACATCAGTGAATGGCTTTGCTCCTGTGTACCTGCCTGACCCTACAAACCTGTGCTATCCAACACAGTAGCCGCTGATCATGTGTGCCTGTTATTTAAGAATTCTGTTCGGCTCGGCGCCTGTGGCTCAAGCGGCTAAGACGCCAGCCACATACACCTAAGGTGGCAGGTTGGAATCCAGCCTGGACCCGCCAAACAACAATAATGGCTGCAACCAAAAAAAAAAAAAAATAGCCGGGCGTTGTGGCGGACGCCTGTGGTCCCAGCTACTTGGGAGGCTGAGGCAGGAGACTCGCTTGAGCCCAGGAGTTGGAGGTTGCTGTGAGCAGTGAAGCCATGGCACTGTACCCAGGGTGACAGCTTGAGGCTCTGTCTCAAAAAAAAAAAAAAAAAAAAAAAGAATTCTGTTCTGGGTGGCGCCTGTGGTTCAGTGGGTAGGGTGCCGGCCTCATATACCCAGGGTGGTGGGGTCAAACCCTGGCCCCGGCCAAACTGCAATGAAAAAAATAGCTGGGCATTGTGGTGGGCGCCTGTAGTCCCAGCTACTCAGGAGGCTGAGGCAAGTGAATCGCCTAAGCCCAAGAGCTGGAGGTTGCTGTGAGCTGTGATGCCATGACACTCTACCAAGGGCGATAAAGTGAGAGTCTGTCTCTTAAAAAAGAATTCTGTTCCTCAGATGCTCAGTAGCTACATGGAGGGGCTACTTTATTAGATGGCACAGATACAGAATATTCCTGCCACGGGGAAAGTTGTGTTGTGCACTGCTGCTGTAGATATTTGAGTTTGTCACCCTGCTATCCAGCATCGGCAGGTAGCTTTTATTGTTTTTATTTTTAAAATGTGCGTATCCCTTTGTTATGACACATCTCCATATTTTAAGTGACTCCGTGGTAGTCGGCAGAGTAGGACTTTATATACATTGTAGGGCCAGGTGCAGTGGCTTGGGCATGTTGTCCCAGCTACTTGGGAGACTGAGGAAGGTGGACCACTTGAGCCCAGGAGTTCTGGGCTATAGCAAACCTTGCCGAGGGAGTATGCACTAAGATTAACATCAGGCTGGTGACCTCCTGGGAGCAGGAGGGGTGAGCCAGCCCAGGTTGAAAATGCAGCAGGTCAGAGGTCCTGTGCTGATCGGTGGTGTGGTGAGACTGAGCCCTTGAACAGCCACCGCACTCCGTCCCATGCAACTCAGTGAGACCCCATTTCTAAAAAAAAGCGGTGGAAGGATCCTGTGGTCTGGTCATATGTTTAGCTTTGTTTAGTTTCGTTTATATTAGCTTTGTCTGGTTTGGGCACGAACTGGAAGGGGAAGGGGCCGGTGGTGATTAGGGGATGTATAGTAATCAAAGCCCTAAGGCCACAGAACCCAGGAAGGGCAGGACTGAGACACTAAGGCCCCGGAGTCCACCTGACTGCCTTAATGCGGCCTGAGATCTTTTGGATGCTAACATCACCTTAGAGACAATCCAGTATTTTCTATACCTGATTCAGTATTGAAAATTGGTAAATTTAGTTTTACAAACTAAAGAAGAAACTCTCCGCTCCAGTAAACAGTATGTATACTATTAAAATGTTATCAATTTGTATATAAACGAACGTGTAGCTGTTTTATACCAGGTAAACATCTTAGAGATCATTGAATTGCAAGGTGTAGAAACTCACTGAGGAAAGGGAATTATTTTAGGAAGGCTCATAAAACTCTATTAAAGGTAGGAAGGACAGTAGTCTCCTGGGAACCAGCAAAGTCTCAGTCTCTCTACCTCTCCCCCCCCCTTCTCTCTTCCATCCCCTCCATGGCCTCTCATTTTCTTTCCTGTTCATATCTGTGTTCCATTATCTTTTCTCTACATCTGCTTCTTTTGCAAAACTTTTGATTTGCAGTTCTTACTTGCCTATTGCTTTATTTTGCCTCAGCACCTGGTGTAACCCCGACTCAGTCATGCCATCATATCCCTGTGCCAGACACTGTCTTACTTAAAATCTTTTCAGTGTCAGATCCCACTGCTAGAGCCAGACAGGGCCATCTGAGCCCATCCCCTACGTCGAGGATGTAGGGTGCACCTGCTAAGAAGGGGGTGTGATGGGCAAGTGAAGCTTGTCAGTCACAGAACATCTTCACATTTGATGTGAAGGGAAGAAAGTGGGTTTGTACTTTAACTTCTAGTGGAGAATTTAGACTTTATAGATTTAAAACTTAAATACACTTTCCCATTGAAAACAGTTGTTTCAGGTCATTTTTCTGCATCTGCCCAAATGGCATAAAGAATAATTGTTTCCTTCCTAACCGCATTCTGGTGCACAGGGACGTCTTTTTTTTTAAATTGTATACTACATAGCACGTTATAAGGAACTGTATTTCATTAACCCCTAATAATCTTACCTAGGTTCATTTTTGTCTCCTCAACTGGATCTGTGAGTGCAGGACTGTATTTTTATACTGTATCTGTAACTTTCTTACCATGAGGTAATGAAGAGCCTTACTAGTTACTCAAATACGAATTTTGAAGTGGTCTCCAGACTTAAATTGTTTTACCATTTCCTGGCTTGGTTCAAAAAAGAAAAAAACTAGGAAGAATCTTGTTAATAATATATATATATCAGCCTAGACTCTTTAAAATCAGTAGTAATTCAAAACGGATTAGGTTAGGCTTAAATTTTATTTAGCCTGTCTTTTATTTACATATGTTAATAACATAAGGGCATGGCGTATAAACTACATAAAAAATAAATTTGAGTAATTTTCAAATCATTGGATGCATAGATAGTACTATTTATTAAAACTGGTAGTTTTGAAAAGTCTTTTTAGATATTACCATATTAGCCTAGATTGAGTTTTACCTATTTTTTTCCAAATTTTATTTTATTTTATTTTGAGACAGAGCCTCAAGCTGTCCCCCTGGGTAGAGTGCC